CTCTCTATGTTTGTGTTTTTTTTTTTTTTTTTGTGTTTTTGTTTTTGTTTTTTTTTTATATATATATATATATATATATATATATATATATATATATATATATATATATATATATATATATATATATATATATATATATATATATATATATATATATATATATATATATATAATTTTATTTTTTTATTATTAAAAACTGCTTTTATTCTATCTGAAAAAAATAAAAAAACTTTCTCCAGAAGAAAAAAATATTATCAGACATACTGTAAAAATGTTCTCGCTCTGTTAAACATCATTTGGGAAATATTTAAAAAGAAAAAAAATTCTAAGGAGGGCTTATAATTCTGACTTCAACTGTATGTATGTATGTGTATATGTGTATATAAATATACACACCGTTGAAAGCAGAAATTTACATACACTGTATATAAAGGCACACAACCATTTTAAAAAAAGTCAGATGTTAATGTGACTAAACTTTCTTTTAGGTAAGTCAGGATTATCACATGTGTTTCTGTTATGCTTAATAGCTGAATAATGAGAGAAATTTTTGAGAAATTGTTAACTTTTCTTGAAAGTCAAATTTACATATAATACGATTAATACACCTCTGAAAAAGCTCAGATGATGGTGTCAAGGTTTTGGAAGTCATTTGGTCTTCCAAACAGACCCTAAGCATACAACCAAATTAGTTCAAATGTGCTTTAAGGACAACAGAGTGAATGTTTTGGAGTGGCCATCACAAAGCCCTGAACTTAATCCTATAGAAAATGTGTCGGCAGAGTTGAAAAAGCTTGTGCGAGCAAGACAGCCAACAAATCTGACTCAGTTACACCAATTCTGTCAGGAGGAAAGAGCCAAAATTCCTTCAAACTATTGTGAGATGCTTGTGGACGGATACCCAAAACAATTGAACTAAGTAATACAGTTTAAAATCAAAGCTAAAAAAATACCAAGGATTTATTTATTCATTTCATACATTTAAAATAAAATCATATGTGTATTTAAAAAAAAAAAATACTGTTAGGTTTTTGTTATATACAGTCATAGTTATATGATCACAATCAACAAGTTAATTCAATTATAATCAATACAATTATTAAAATAATTAAGAATAAATCAATAAAAAAACTAAGGAACAAAAATGTATGTTCTCCTTCTCTCACTTTCTTACACAGAGGAATGTTTTCTGCTGTGTGATGTGAATAACTCCAGCGTTCTTCTGAAAGGCTGAAAATGAATTTCTTCCCTCTTTACACTCTCTCTGACCTTCTCAGTGCGAGTTAACAGGAGTGTGAAAACTGCATCTCCTCAGTCTTGTTCTTTTGCATTTTGTAAAGGTAATGTGGAAAAGCCATGCTCTTCTGAAAGCGATCTATCACTGTGTGCTGACCTGCACAACCCTGAGCTGAAGAAAAGCAGATCACTGATCCGCTTTTTACTGCCTTCATAGAGGCTTTTACTTCTTCGTGTGACTTGTTGGATTGTATATTAGTTTATTCATACATTCATTATGTGTTTTATATGTCTGTCTGTCTGTCTATCTATCTATCTGTCTGTCTGTCTGTCTGTCTGTCTGTCTGTCTGTCTGTCTGTCTGTCTGTCTGTCTGTCTGTCTGTCTGTCTGTCTATCATTTTATTTGTTGTTTTGTCTATCATTTTGTCTATCGTTCCTTTATTCTATATATCAGTCTGTCTGTCTATCTATCTATGTGTATCTATCAATCTTTTTCTTTACACTCTTATTTATGCTGGGTTGTTGTAACCAAATATTAGGTCGAATATGGACAAACACAATCATTGGGTAATGTGTCATTTAAATTTAATTGAAAACATTGAACCATACAAAAGTAAAAATAAGATTTCAAATTC